TGAGAAGAAGTGGTCCATCTTGTCCCGTAGGTCTTTATCTTTATTTGAGCCAGCTGTCAGAGCACAGTCATCAGCAAACAAACGTTTAATGAATAAATAAAGCTCTGCCGTGTCGGAGCTACTTATTACACCAATGTTACTCTACAGAGTAGTGGGTCGCCGCTCCTCTTATCCGCATTGATACGAGCGGTATGTAGGGACTATGGCTTAACCGCCACAAAAAACCCTATCTGCACAGATGCATACGGACAAGAGAAGTATTATCAAACAGGAGGAATTAACGGTACAACGCATCTCATCTGTTAAATATCTGCAGGTAATAGGATTGTCATCGATTGATCCCGGCTGCAGACATTGGTAGGTCACACATTATAATGAAGATAAGAGAGCAGTATCACTGTATTATGCATACCGTGATGACAAATAAAGGACTTAAGTCATGTAGGCAGTTTGAGCAGCTTTGGATAATAAGACTTATGATCCTGCCCATACCCGAGCGTGGAGTGCATTCGCTTGTTCAGCTCGTGTGCGCATTCGTCCTCGCTGCTGCACTTGGACACGACATGACAACGTAACGATCAGCGCCACGTTTATATTTAATTACGATTTAGACTTCCGTTTATTCGGGACCCCGGGGTCCCGCCATAAGGTGCATGTATATGTAGATCGTAATCACCTACTCAGTCTCATCGACCTGTTGATTCTCCAGGCCTATGCTCCCCAGCAACAGCAGCTGTTTAAACAATCAACAATAACAACCTGTCATCTCGCTACAAACCAAGCTCTGCTGGATCACAATGGCCTGGAAAGCCACATGGGCGATGGACGATCAAACAAGTGTCAATTACTTTGGGGAGGGGAGGGACAGAGTAGACACTGTAGCTCACACGTCCTTCCAACAATGCTGATGCTTTGTGACGAGGCACGCCACGTGTGTGTGGCCACGTCGAGTCAACACACCCGGCGAAGCTGCTGGTCTCAAGCTGGACACGCGATGGCGTTGCGACAACAAAGAGATACATCTTGACTCGAAGCTTTCGTTACTGCAGGATTCATTATTTTGGGGGATTTTCGGTAAAGCCACGAAGATAGGAAAAAATAATTATTATTTTGATAATTTTTTCTATATACGTAGCAAAGAGATCAATCAGATCTTGGCGAATTGCTTTTATTTTGCCAATTTGAAACAGAACAATAAAATAAATACCAGCAGCTGACTGACACAGGCCGTTATATTAATATTGTATTATTGCTATATTATTGTAGTATTGTTATCATTGTTGTATTATGAATATTGTTTTATTATCGTGTTATTATTATTGTACACCCGTGTGTGTTCTTGCACGGACACGACAAAGATCCCGCGGCATAGCCTTAACAGACTGTTGGGGCAAGTGCACGTGACGGTGGGCGCACTGCACACGAGGGGGCGGGTGGCCAACCCAACAGCACCCACGGCCTCCTGAGTCCGCTCGTGGCGATGTTTACACACCGCACCAGGTACTTCATTGAGGCTGAGTCGACCTAAGGGAGGCCCAGGCCCGGTTCAAATTGACGTCACTGGTGTTGGCCGTGAGCGGGAATCGAACTCTTGTCACTGGGTTTGTAGCGCAGCGTAGCGCTAACCGCTACACTACCGCAGCCCACACAGACACGACAACAAAGGCGGAGATCGCCCGTATAGCCTTAACAGACTGTCGGGGCAAGTGCTCTTAGCGAGCACCTACAAAAGCCATCACAGATACACACGCAGACACACACACAGACACACACACACAAACACACAGACACACGGACAGACACACACATACCCATACACGCAGACACACGGACACACACACATACCCATACACGCAGACACACGGACAGACACATACCCATACACGCAGACACACGGACACACACACATACCCAAACACGCAGACACACGGACAGACACACACGTAGACACACGGACACACAAACACACACCCAAACACACACACACACAAACACACAGACACACGGACAGACACACACGCAGACACACGGACAGACACACACGCAGACACACGGACACACACACACAAACAAACACACAGACACACGGGCAGACACACACGCAGACACACGGACACACACACACACCCAAACACACAGACACACGGACAGACACACGGACACACACAAGCCCAAACACGCAGGCGGGCACATGTTCGCGGCCACTGGCTCGAGACACAATGTTCCCTCATTAGAAATATGAAACTAAAATTGTCACTTAAAACAATGTTCCTGTCACTTGTCGCTCGAGGGAGCCGTGGGCGAACAACATAAAATTCGTCCAAAGCGGCATCGAGGTGACGCGTCACCTCCAAGCTTCTGTTGGTGACGAATCTCGCGGCCACGTGGCCACGCGGCTGCGTCCCAGTCGGGGAGACACGCGCGGGGCCGACGCGGAGCGGCCCTTGGTCTGTCACGTGGGGGCGGCAGTGCCGCGTGGTCCGGGTCTCTACCCACCCACCCCTAGGTCGACTCGGCCTCAAATGGGGCGGCGTGTGTCGTGGACATCGCCAACTCCCACCCCCCCCTCTCTTGTGCCGTGCAGGTTGTTCACAGGCGCTTGCCAACAGCACTTGACCCAACGGTCTGTTAAGGCTACACGGGGGATCTTTGTATTTGTATGTATATTCTGGGCCTCCCCAAGGTCGACTCAGACTCAATTGGCGCGGCGTGTGTCGTAAACATCGGCCGGGCGTGGTGCTGGGCACCCACCCCCTCGTGTGCCGTGCCGGCCCTCACAGGTGTTACTTGCCAACAGCACTTGCCCCAGCAGTCTGTGAAATGCTATCCGGGGAATATTTGTATTTGTGTCAATGTCTGTTGAACTTCGTTCGCGCCGTACGTAGACAAACGTGCTAATCGGAGGTGGAAATTAGTTTGTTGTCCTTCCCCCGCTCACCTCCCGTTAGCACGGTTGGCTACGTACGGTACGACATAAGTTCAACAGACATACATCTCGATGATGTGGGGCAGGGAACCGAGTGAGTTGCGCCGTGCCGGCCTTCATAGGTGACCGCTAACTGCACTTGCCCCAATAACCTGCTGAAGGCTATATGGGGGATCTTTGCCTTTGTTGTTTTTTTTCCCCGTAGAAATCTGCAGGGGGCGACACTCCACCGAGGCTCCGTTACATCCAAAACACGAACCCCACTCCGCATCCGTCATTAAGGAGAAACACAATGATGTCAGAATCATCAGAACAAGTTTGTTTATGCAGGAGGAATCCGATGAGCTGTGAAGCTCTTTTTCCACGAGGTGTCCAGCAGGGACAGGTCAGAACGTCACGACAACAAACATTACTCAAACACGATACGAGCGCAACGTATATTCAAGGTAAACAAATCCCTTTAAAAATATATATAGACGTATAAAACTAACCTAATTGTTTTATCTTAAGAGGTAAAGCCCATTGAGGTATTCGATAATTTTCTCGAAGCAACGTCACCACAAATGATAGCTCAACGAAGTGGCTTATCACGTGGACATTTACAGCAGCCGAATAATGACACGTTTCAGTCAATGACCCCCCTTGATGGCAAGCGACGTTCTACAACGTGGGGTCCGTGGTCCGATTCGCCGAGTCGTTGTGTGGGCAGGAAGTGGGGATGGCGCAGAGTCGATCCAAGCGAGTGAGAGGAGGATCAGAGACGGTGGCTAGGAGATGTTAACTACCTCGCCTGTTACACAGGAGGTCGTGGGTTCGATCTCGACCCTGACGCCTGCTGCTGTATATTTGGAGTATGCGTGTCTCTTTCTCTCTCCACGCGTTGAAAGTATTTGTCTGCTATAAATGTCCACACAATGATGAGCCACTTTCGTTGAGCTATCATTTCTGTTAGCCAGGTCGCTTCTGAAAAAGTCGCTTCTGAAGAAAAAGCGACTAGCCCAATGGGCTTTACCTGGTCAAATAAAAAAAAGAGTTTATAGTTGAAAACATTATTTGAAGAGACGTACTGTCAGTGAGCGCGACATTGAAGGCGTCATGGATTGAAGGCAGATTACCGGGATCGCAAATGGAGTGTGAATGAATATATTGCATGGGAAATGGTAGTGTGGTGGTTAGCGCACTGCGCTATGAACCCGGCGACCCGAGTTCAACACCAGTGACGATTCATTGAAGCTGTCCTCGGCTTCCCCTAGGTCGACTCAGCCTCAAATAGGTACCTGGTGCGGTGTGTAAACATCGCCACTAGGGAGACAAAGGCGGTCGGGCGTGGTGCTGGCCACCCACCCTTCATAGGTGCTGGCTAACAGCACTTTCCCCAACAGCCTGTTAAGGCTATACGGGGGATCTTTGTCTTGTCTTTGTATGTATGTTGAACTTCTTTCGCACCATACTAACACACACATCTGTGTAGACTTGTAGGGTTTGAATGTGAGTGTATGTATCTATAGTATTCCATTGTTCTTCGTGAGAGAAGGGATACTGTTTAAAAAAGTAAAATAAAACGACACTTTATTTTTTACTTTCCCAGGTGAGGCCCTCTGAGCTACTTAACTCATTTCCAGTAGCGACCCGGCCACAAATGACAGCTCCACGAAGGTGCTCGTCATTACCACGTGGACATTCGTAGGAGCCAATCACTTCCGTAGGTGATCGTGAATAGAAGAGAGCATTTCGCGGATAATGATATATTGTTAACGCATTGCCTTAAGATAACAGGTAAAAAAGCTTTTAAATACATGCAATTATCATAACACCAAAAAATTGGCTATAATAACCGTAAAGCAAATACAAATTTAAGTATTTCGTAATAGTTTATAAATAATCCATAATATAGATTATTTTTTAAGTTATATCACGTAAATATGAATGGGTCGTTAAACCCGCCACCACCCGACACAGCCAACTAGTGAGGGTTGTCACGTAAACAGAACATACCAATTCGTTACTAGTACAGCACTAACCGGTGTGTTGGAGAGCAAATCCACAACATTTACAATCTGAGTACGACGTTTCGTTAGTAATTACAAATACCATCATCAGGCAGACAGCCAAATTTTGACAAACCTTACTAATTGGCTGTGTCGGGTGGTGACGGGTTTAACGACACATTCATAATTACGCGATCTAACACAAGCAACCTCTATTATGGATGCTATTGGTCGCGAAAGCCTACGTGTTAAACTGCGTTTATAAATGAACTTAAATTATGATGCAGTAACGATGACCTCATCACTTTCGCTCATCACATTTTATTTCATCGCTTAAGCTCATCACTCTCTCGCATCACTTTCTTTGTCTCTCTCTCTCTCGACGCAGTAGTCGTGTAGACTTCCAGATGCGATTCGCGGATAACCAATATCACGGATAGGCAATATCGCGGATAGCAAGTTCGTGCACATTTTTTTTTTATTTTAGCCGGTATAGTCTACTGAGCTGTATAGCTCTCATTCAGAAACGACCTGGCCACAAATGATACCTCAGCAAAGTGGCTTATTACGTGAACAGTTATAGCAGCAAATACTCAAAAGACGTGCTTCTAAAGATGGAGGGGAAAGCCGCAGGACCCGGAGAAAAATCCACGCGACCACGGCAAGAGAAGGAACATTCACACTCCAAATATACAGCGGGCATCAGGGTCGGTACGGTACCCACTTCTTTCGCACCGTACGTAGCCAACCGTGCTCATCTGAATTGTTAGCGAGCACCTGTTAAGGCTCGCGCGGCACACAAGTTAGTGGTGTGGCCGGTAGTGCACCTGGCAGTCTTTGTATCTCTCGTGGTGACGTTCGCAAACATGGGCAATTACTCCTCGTTTGAGGCTGAGTCGACCTAAAGCCAGGTGAGACTGATGATCTCCACCGGTGGGAAGCGAACCAAGGTGGTCTGGATCACAGCCAACGTGAGTTCTTGTCGCTCAAATGAGCATTGGGGAATTGGTGCTCATATCAAGCTCACAGCCGAGCTGAGCCAGTGGCGGAAATTCCACATTATGGCGGGGGCAAGCTTATCCCTGGGACAACCACCTTCCACTTCCCTACGAAGTGGTACTTATTGTATCCCACCCCGGAGAGATGATAGGATGAGTCAAGGCCGTAACCATGGAGTCAACATTGGGGGGGACCAAATCTTCCAGGGGGTCCTGGGGTCCCTCCCCTCCCAGCAAAAAAAAATCTAATTTGAAAACGAATTTCCTGCCGAAAATATAAAAAAAATTCACTAACACATAGGATGGACTTTTATTTATTTTTACAATAATGTCTAATAGTGTATTGTATTACATTGCTCTGTTTTTTTCTTTTTTACCTTTTCTTGTTTCATTGTATGTAATGGCAGAGATTAAGGATTAATAAAGTATTAACCACAATCATTTTAATACAAATCTATTTTATAGTAATATATTGGAGGGGACATTTTGAGCAATATATATTACTAGCTTTACTACCCGGCCTTGTCTCCCGAGTGGCGATGTTCACTACACGTTTGAGGCTGAGTCGACGTAGGGGAGGCCCAGGACCGGTTAAAATAATCGTCACTGGTGGTGGCCGTGAGCGGGAATCGAACTCGTGTTGCCGGGTTCGTAGCGCAGCGCGCGAATCGCTACGCAGTCGCTGCCCCCCCACACACAGGATAAAGACAAAGATCCCCCGTGTAGCCTGTGAGACTGTGGGAGGCAAGTGCTGTTAGCGAACACCTATGAAGGCCGGCACGGCACACGAGGGAGTGGGTGGCCAGCACCACGCCCGGCCGCCTTTGTCTCCCCAGTAACAATGTTTTTCACACCTGCACCAGGTACTCATTAGAGGCTGAGTCGACCTAGGGCAGGCCCAGGACCGGTTCAGATAATCGTCACCGATGCTGGTGGCCGTGAGCGGGAATCGAACTCGACTCGCCAGGTTCGTAGCGCAGTGCGCAAATTGCTGCACCACCACTCCCCGACACACTCACTCAGCACGCTTACGCCAGTTCGATTCCATTCCTCTATTCGGCAACTTAATCAATGAGCGTGTCTCCAATCAACAAACCCCGGCGACCCGAGTTCGATTACCCACTCACGGCCAACATGGGCGGGGGGGGGGGGCGACTACCTCAATCTCTCCCGGTCTTCCCCGATAGTCGACTCAGCACCGGCGGGAGATACAAAGGTCGCTGGGCGTGTGCTGATGGAGACCCCCCCCCACCCCCATCGTTAATAGGTGCTCGCTACAACAGCACTTGCCCTAACAAGTTGGTACGGCAACGCGGGCTATCTTTTGTTTGCGTGTGGTGTATAAATAGATGCGCGTGTGTGTGACGCTGAAGGGAACGCGTGTTCAGCACGCACTGTTTACAAAACTCGCCACGTGATAGCCGAGGGTCAAAGTTGGTTTTAAATAACCAAGTGTAACGAGTGACTCGTAAAATGCAATTAAGCCCGGAAAAATGTGTGTATGCAGGGGAAGATGTGGGAAGGTGTGTTTGTTATTGGGAGCGGTAACATAGCGGTTAGTGGGCTCAGTTCGATTCACGTTCACGGCCAAAAATCAGTGACGATTATCTGAACCGGTTCAGCGCCTCCCCTAGGTTGACTGAGCCTCAAATGAGTACCCGTTGCGGTGTGTGAGCATCGCCACTGGGGAGACAAAGGCGGCCTGGCGTGGTGCTGGTCACCCACCCCGTCGCGTGCCGTGCCGGCCTTCATAGGTGCTCGCTAACAGCACTTGCCCCAACATTCTGTCACGGCTATACGGGGATCTTTGTCTTTGTCCTCTGAGTGTCTTTTCTTGCGTGTTTCCATGCGGAGCGTAGATAAGACAGTGCCTGGCTGTCGTGTGGACCCCTTTAAATGAGCATCTGCGCCAGTGGGAAACATTCAGTCTGAGCTGCTGACCGCGATCCACCCGGGCTCTAACCAGAAATGGAGTACAGTGTGAGGAGCTCACGGATTTTTGAAAGATCTGGACACAATTCCATCGCTGAGCTCCTCCGGCCAGCGAGGCTGCGTTGGCTGGGTCACGTAGCCCGCAATGCCCATTCATGGCATGCCCAGCCACCGCATGCCCAGCCACCGCATGCCCAGCCACCGCATGCCCAGCCACCGCATGCCCAGCCACCGCATGCCCAGCCACCGCATGCCCAGCCACCGCATGCCCAGCCACCGCATGCCCAGCCACCGCATGCCCAGCCACCGCATGCCCAGCCACCGCATGCCCAGCCACCGCATGCCCAGCCACCGCATGCCCAGCCACCGCATGCCCAGCCACCGCATGCCCAGCCACCGCATGCCCAGCCACCGCATGCCCAGCCACCGCATGCCCAGCCACCGCATGCCCAGCCACCGCATGCCCAGCCACCGCATGCCCAGCCACCGCATGCCCAGCCACCGCATGCCCAGCCACCGCATGCCCAGCCACCGCATGCCCAGCCACCGCATGCCCAGCCACCGTATGCCCAGCCACCGCATGCCCAGCCACCGCATGCCCAAGTAGCTTCTGTTTGGCAGGGTAGATGGGGCTAAGCGGTCGTGGCACGGACTAGAGAACCACATGGCACCTGGGTCTGTCCCGTGACCTCCTGCCGTGGTGACGTCACTGCCACCTTGTGACGCGTGACGGCTGTTGCTCTTGCTATATGGGGTAGCGCTGGCACGTGCCTTTAGAGAACACGCACGTGACAGGTGCGTGACGTCATAGTTGAGAGGCGTGAGTGGGGGGCGGGGCTGCTGGGCAGGGCGCGTGACGGGTAGAAGGGGACGGCGATGGCCGAGGGTGGAGACTCAGCACGGAGCGGCAGCCACGGAACGGAACGGAACGCGTCCCAGACAACAGGGGACGTCCAGCCGAGGGGAGATGGAGCGCTGGAATCGGATCGCGAGCACGTGGCTGGGTGGATTGTTAGATGGCAGCAGCGTGGGCAAGCCTTCATCCAGCACTGGATTGACTTTGCCTGCCGATGATGATGATGATGAAAGGGAAAATGTAACTCCTGATACCATTAAAAGTGAAAGAGTCTCCCTTGCTCAAATGGCTTTGGTTATCACTCCCATTTGGCGGTCGTGAGCCGGTTGTGGAAATTCCACGTTCCCATGGCAAGGACCAGACACATCTCAGGACGGCCTCGTGCATGTGCGGCACACAAATCGTTGCGAACGGAGTCGCGCTGAGCCAGACCTACTCACCTTGCTCAAATATTCGACGCTCGCAACTCCGAATTCAATTCCCGTCGAGTAGCCTCCTAAAAGCGTTGCGCTCACACGCGCGCGCGTGCGTGAGAGAGAGAGAGGTTCTGAGTGTGAGACATCGTGTCGGTCGTGTATGTGGTGTGGGGAGTGGTCTTGTAGGCGGTTAGCGCACTGCGCTGTGAGAGAGAGGTTCTGAGTGTGAGACATCGTGTGGGTCGTGGATGTGGTGTGGGGAGTGGTCGTGTAGGCGGTGAGCGCACTGCGCTGTGAACCCGCTGACCCGAGTTCGTCTTCCCGCTCACGGTTAACACCGAGCGACGATTAAATGTGAACCGGTGCTGGGTCTCCCCTAGGTCGACTCAGCCTCAAATGAGTACCTGGTGCGGTGTGTAGATATCGGCGCGGGGAGAGACAGTGGTGGCTGGGCGTGGTGTTGGCCGCACCACTCCCTCGTGTGAAATGCCGGCCTTCGTGAGTGCTCGCTAACAGCACTTGCCCCTACATTCTATTGAGGCTATACGGGTGACCTTTGTATGATTTCGTACCGGTGTAGGCGCGCGCGCGCCTCCGCGTGCCCGTTCATTGCCAAAGTAATAACCGCCGTGGTATTGATTTCCATTTATTTTCTTGGCCGTGGCTTTTTGCTTTTTGCTTTGAGGGTCACACACACACCACATACACACACACAGACACAGACACACACGACACATACACACCACATACACATACACCACATACACACACAGACACACACGACACACACGACACACACACACCATATACACATACACCACATACACACACACAGACACACACGACACACACACCATATACACATACACCACATACATACACACAGACACACACATACCACATCCACACACCACATGCACACTATATACACACATACACAGACACACACAGCAAATACACACACACACCACATATACACACACACCACATACACACACACCACACACCACACACACCACACACATATGCACCACACATACACCACACACACTACATAGACACACACACCACATACACACACTCCACATATACACACACCCCACACACACCACAGACACACACCACACACATATACCCCACACATACACCAAACACACTACATAGACACACACACCACATACACACACTCCACATATACACACACAGACACACACAACACACACACACCACATACACACACGCAGGCACACACGACACACACACACGACACACACACCCCACACACACACACGCACACACAGACACACACGACACACACTCCACATACACACACACAGACACGCGCGCGCAAAAAAAATGAAGACCCAAACAATGATTGCTGTTCAGCCAAGAGAATGTCCTTGCCTTGAGAGCTCGTGAACCTTTGCACTTTTAAGCATAGTCACTCGCCGAATAATGGCACATACATCACGTATTTTCAATTATCTGAAGGCCTGTGAGTCAATAAGAAAAAACGCCTCAGTATCTATCCGTGCCCAGACGAGCGAGTGTGGTGCCGATGCGTGCGAGGAGGGGGAGATACTCATCTCCCTTCCGTGGCCCTGAGCCAATGAGTAGTGGCAATTCCATAGTTCTATGACGGGGGAGGGGGAGGAGGAGGAGGAGGGGGATGCATTACCAGAGGTCGACGATCAACACTTGCAGCCCTGCAATTGCTCGCTCACGCCACCGCTCTCCAAAGGCTCTCTCTCTCTCTCCACCGGAAGAGGAGAGGGTTATGACACATTTATAAATAACGCGATCTAAACCCAAAAACGTTGATTATGAATAATATTGGTCGCGAAAGCCTACGTGTTAAACAGGGGGGGGGGGTGGTTGTATTTTGGTCTACTCTTCCACGCTGGTCAGACGTCTCGGAACTTGTGGGAGCACCCACACTTTACCCCACCGCACGCCACCTACCGATCGCATTGCCGTGGGCTGCGTCAAGGAGCATGAACCATGATCGCGGTCGCGGGAGAAGTCCCCAACATCACACGGCTCGCCAACTGCCGCCATCCTCCCAGCAGCCACCGCGCGGCGCTTTCAGGCGTGCTTCTGCGGCCGTCTGGAACGCTCTTCCTTCCGATGCTGGGAAGCCACTGGGAGCAATGCACTTTGACATAAAGAGTGAAAACGCATTTCTTTAGAGCTGCTTTGTTGTGTTTAGTGTTGTTCTCCCCCCCCCACCGCCGCGCCTCCGATGAGCACGGTTGGATACGTACGGTGCGAAAGAAGTTGAACGTACAGCACAGACTCTGCTGGTGGGGGGGGGGGGGGATTCAAAAGGCGGAGGAGGGACTTCAGAATCGGAATCTGTGTTGATGCTGGAGGAATCCGATGAGCTATGAAGCTCTTTTACACAGACGTCCGGTCGGGGCGGGTCAGAACGCACACAGCAACAACAAACTACGAAACAAACACGCGGCACGAGTGCCTGTCACGTGGCCTGTCACCATCGCTAGAACTCCCCGTGCCGCCACGGAGACTTCTAACCGCGATCTCCGGATCGCCAGTCCAAGACCCTCACTGTCTGCACCACGGCAGCATGCCACAGACTTCCCGTTCCACTTCGCGCGTCGATTATTTATTTACTTATCTTCGCCGCGGTGAAATGAGAACCCCTTCGAAAGGATTGGCAAAAGGTCATAAACGTGGCAGGACTCCTCCTTGTCAAAGAGTCTCAAGACTCTAAACTCAACTAAACGATATTCTTGGTTCTTTCGGTAAAGTCACGTAGAAGGGAAATAATAAAATAATAATAAAATAATAATAAAACAATAAAATTCTCACGACGTTTCGATTGCAACACAAGCAATCATCATCAGGTGTGAAAACCACAGCAATAATGTTTTTGAAAAAAGTGGCGGTTTTTATTATTTCCCTTCTACGTGACTTTACCGAAAGAACCAAGAATATGAATCCGTGCAGTCACGAAAGCTTTAAATCAAAATTTAAACTTAACGATGTTCACTTCACCAGGTGAGGCCCCACTCTGCTGCTCCGCCACTGTCTTACAGAAGCGAGCTGGCCACGAGTGGTAGCTCAACGAAGTGGCTTATCATCATCATCATCATCACGTGGACATGTATAGCAGCAGCCAAACACTCGGAACGCGCGATGTTGATTCTAAATGTGGAGGGAAAGACCGGAGGACCCTGAGAAGAATCCACGCCACCACGGGGAGAGAGAGAGAGAGAGGAATGTTGACTCTTTACGTGAATGATGAAAAAGAAACGTGTCGCTGGAGGTACTGGTGTACGAGAGACGGTGTAAGAGATTTGCTTGTGTAAATTTCCAGCGTATTTTTTAAACCAAAATATACCCCAAAAGAGACCGCGGTGAGTTCCATTTGCAAGAGTGACCTGGGTCCCCAATAGGGAAAGTAAAAACGTCAACTTAAGTGCTGTACAACTATTAAGCAAATAGGAATCAGCTCAAAATAAGCAAATAGCAGAGCAGAGACGACCACATTGACATCAAATTGGGCACGGTGCACAAACATCAACCGGTATTGCATAAAATAAGCTGGCAAAATAAACTTGAGAGAGAGAACATGCAAACTCCAAATATGCAACAGGCGTCAGGGTCGTGCTCGAACCCACGCGCTCCTGCCGACCGGGCGAGGTAGTTAACATCTCGCTACGGGCAGCACCACCTCGGCACGTGAACGATTGGCGTCACATCACCGCCGCTCCACGGCCTCTGCTCATGGACGTGACTCGCCCACCACTCTCAGTGGTTGCCTTTGTCTCCGGCGGGTGTGGAGAAGGGGTACAAAGAAGAAGTCAAACGCGCCGCTTCGAGTGAGCCACGCGGTGCGCGTAACTCCATTGGGAGTCCAAGAGCCGGTGATGGGAATTGCGCTCAATGCGCAGACAAAGTGCTTGCCACAAATGAACCACCACAACACATCGCGAATTTCGTCACGGGGCGTAAACCATCATCATCACGTGGAGCATAAATCCTCAGCATCACCACCATCACGCGAACTCCGCTCATCCTCACAGCAGCAGCAGCAGAGGCTTCTGGCTGCTGGCTATCGAACAAAGGCGGCGGTCACCGCATCACGCGGCGCTTTCAGGTGCGCTCCTGCGGCCGTCTGGAACGCTCTTCCTTCCCATGTTAGCAAGCCGCTGGAGCTGTGCACTCTTAAATAATGTGAATTCAAAACTCATTTCGTGAAGACAGCGTTTGTGTTTGTTTAGTTCGCCGTCCTTCCCTCGCGCCTCCGATTAGCTTACAGTTGGCTACGTACGGTGCGAAAGAAGTTCGGCACACACATATATTTATATATTTATGGTCCATAGTTTGGGTTGTATTGTTACACTTGCACCACTGTGGCTGGTGCCTTTAATTTTCAATTTTATGAAGGAGATCAATGGCTGCTGGCAGCAGCTGCTGCAGCTGATGCTGCTGATGCTGCTGCTGCTGATGCTGCTGCTCATGCTGATGCTGCTGCAGCTGCTGCTGCTGCTGATGCTGCTGCTGATGCTGAT